CACAGAGTCTTCTTTAACCAGATTTATTGAAAGGGGGGGGGAAACCACGAGGATGTAGAAATCTTAGCAACAGCTCTCTAAGTTTGTTACAGTAGTTTTCTTGATCCTTTTGCTAACTAGCCATGGATGTCCTGGGAAGTGGCCCACCCATTTTCTTGATAAAAGAAAAATGGGCAGATGTTCCGCACTTGCAACATTTTGCAAAGCCCCATCCAATTCCCCATACTCTGAGAAGCCCACGGTAGGTTAGGTAGCTGAAGCAGTGCTATTTTAAATCCTGTGATTCATCAGCACAGCCTCCCTCCTGGAGAGCTTGGGGGACTCCTGGAGAACAAAACCGAGATCCCCCCACCCCCCGCCCCCCACTTACAGTGCAAGGTGAGATTGAAAGGTTCTGATTCGGCAGTGCCAAGTTTCCCATAAGGCATCTTGTAGCTGACTCTGCACTGGAACATGGAGTTTTTATCTGACTTCTTTGGGCGCATGTAGAGCGTGCTGGATCTGGAATAGAGTCCTGATGCTTCTCTCACTGTCCGCACCACCTCGTAGAGTTCTGGGCAGGAAAGATAACAGAACGAAGATGAGCTTCACAACAGAGATCTCTCAAATTACCCATGGCTACAAATGCGCAGACAGAAGGTTTTTTCCCCTCTGTGGGGTCCATGGGCGTGTATGTCAAAAAGAGTCAAGATACTGTGTATTCAAAGCTCACCCCTTTTATACAAGTGTTGGGGCTCCCTTCCTCATCACATGAGAGCAGTGTTTCTCAACCTGGGGAAATCTGGGAGTGGAAGTCCACCCAACTTAAAGTCGCTGAGGTTGAGAAATACTGCATTAGAGCATGGGGCAATTTCTTTAGAAGCACAGAAGTCCTTTTTTAAAATAGTTTCTTGCAATTATTTTCTCCACAGCCCCAGTCTGATCTGGCTATTCTTCAAAATCAGTATATACGCCAGCTTTTCTGGTTGCACAACATTTGAACAACCCTGTCTGCAAGTGCAAGGGAAGAGGGTCTGTTTATGGATCTGTTGATCTGAGACCCCTCTGGGAGAACATGCGGGTGCCCATCCTTGAATTGAATGACTAAAGAAGGAAACTGCTTCCTTACCTTTACTGTGTCCAGTAGTAATATTCAGAAGCTGCCCATCTTTGTACCAGCTGATGGTTGGCGCCGGGTGGCCATTTTTGCCTGTACACATTGCAATCTGGGGAAGGACAAGCAACAGCTGCTAGAAAGGCCTTAACAACTCCCAGGATTTCCATGGTGAGGGGATCAAAACATTCAAGATGGCAGCCGCAACTGCATGATCAAAGCCTTTTCCTTTTATAATGTATCATGCATGTCACACCTATAAAAATGGTCAGGGCATTGATCACACGGTCCTGCTGCCATCTTCACTTTTTTGACCCCTCCACCCCAAAGACACCCCTGGGGAAAGTGCTCATTCTGTATTTATTTATTCCATAGAGTATTTGTAAACCATGGGCTACTACGATAGGCCACTTATAGCCCCTGTCTCGTTGAAGCTCAAAACTGTTCAAAATGGGCCATAGTTAGAAACCAAGAATCCTTGAAATTCCCCCCAAAACCAGCTGAAATTCACCTGTACAACATGTTCCCCCTTACTTTATAGCCCTCAACCCTCTGGATCTTAAGGATAGGTATGCCCGCTGAACACTGGCCCATCCCTGCCCTAAAGGACAGTTCTTTTACTTTCAAAAACTAAAAAAAAAACCCCTAACTTCAATGCTCCCCCCTACCAAAATAAAAAGGGGGGAGGCAGAAGCAAGTGAACAGCCTCCCTGCATTTAGAGAGACACCACCTCACCTCTAAAGCAAGATCCGCGGTCACAGAGAGGGTCCCTGAGTTTTGCGTAAGCTCAGGGGGTTCAGGAGGGTCTGCAAAGAGAGAGGGCTGGTCAGAGAGATCAGAGACAGGGCCAAAAAGGCGACAGACCTGCTAATTAAGCCTTAGCACCCTGGGGTGGCCGTTGCTGCCTCCATTAAAATACAGAGCTGGTTAACTTGTGATAAGACAAGGAAATCATAGTTGGAGACAAGCATTCATCTTTCCAAGAGTTCTCAGTACAATATTAGTCTCATTTGACAAAGGGCATTCAGTCTATATCAGTGTTTTCCAACCTTGGTGATTTGAAGATGTGTGGACTTCAACTCCCAGAATTCCCCAGCCAGCATGGGGAACCCCAGCCACCACTATAGTTTCAAATGGTCCCAGGGTACTCTGGAAAACAAAGACTTCTCCATGGCAGACAGCTGACAATTCTTTAAAAAAAAAAAACTCCCCAAAAATGAAAAATGAGCAGCCAAGTGATAAACCTGAGCAGGATTCCAGGAACCTCAGTTCCGCCGTTCCTGTTTTATCAGAGAAGGGAAATGATTGAGCGCTTTCCGTTTGTCAGCAATGGAGCTACCGAGACAAACACAGCTGCTTCTGTTTGCACCGGCTGTTTTCAAGCAGCCCTGGGTTGCTCTGAATCCAATCTGGAGCAAAGCAAATCAGGGAAGGCAAGGGAGGAGAGGCGGTGTTTGCCGCAGACAGGGCACCTTTTGGCAAGCAAGATGCACTTGATTGCTACAGAAAAGAAACTGGGGATTGTAGGAAGAGCGTGAAAGATAGGAGGGAGGAGGGAAGTCCACCAAAGGTATTCACCAGGTTGACACGAGGTCCCTGGCTGGAGAAGCAACTCTCCTTTCTCAATGGCTCTTCTCAGTAGAGAATATTTATTTGTTAGATTTACAGCCTGCCTTTTGTTCAAGAACTCAACATACAGTAGCACTTCTTCCTCCCATTTTTCCCCATAACAACCACCCTGGGAGCTATGGCGGGCTGAGAAAGGGACTGGCCCCAAGTCACCCAATGGGATTCTGTGGCTGAGGGGGGACTAAAACCTGGGTCTCCCCAGGGCCAGCCCAACACCTTTGCCCTTATGCTATCACAGGTTCTCTCCAGTTATTCTACAAGCAGCAAACTGTGATAACATGGTAGCCCCCTTTTAATTTCCCACAACGCCCTGCCAAAATGCTGGCAGGGGGATTATGGGAAGTAAATTTAGCATCTAGACTGGGTCACCCATATTTATCAATGGCGGGACCTTTGAAAACCCAGGCGCTGTCCAGCAACACCAAAAGCCCAGTTCTCCTCCATGCACCCAGCTTGGTGTTGTCGGTGTTGTGATCTGTTCCATGCCCCACTTGAGTCAACTGTAAGCATGAGAAGGGCAAGCAAGGGGGTTGTGTCCGATGGGAAACAAGATAAGGCAGCCCCCATAGGAGTTGGAAAATGTGGTTTTGGTGGTCATAATTCTAAGAGCACCAAGGCCAAATGCTTACCAAAGACCTTAAGTTGGGTCACTCCATTCCCACTTCCAGAAGCGCTGGTCACTTGACAAAAGAAGGGCTTTTCGTCATTCACGTCGATGGCAGTAATGACCAGGCTATAGTTGGCATCCATAAAGACACGGTCTGTATACTCAGTTCCTCTGTCCACGCCCACCTGACCCTTATCACTGTAGGCCACACGCCGCTGCTCCCCGTTCTTGTCCGTCTGGAAGTTTTACATATTTATATATTTCTCAGACCCAGAAAGAAAGCCTCAGCTATAACAGAGGGTTGATTTCATCCATTACCCCATGAGTCCCATGCCCTGCTCTCCTTTGCAAACCCATAATACTCACAATGAACCATTCCACTAGGAGGTAATCCTTCTTTCCCGTCACTGTGTGTGGGCACAAAATGGTCACCTGCTGGCCCATAACCACCTCCATCTCAGGTGGCAAAGTCATCCGGACCTCCGCCTGGCATTCTGCATGGGAGAAGAGAGAGAGGACAATCAGAAGGATGCAGGAAACGCCAGAGGGCCTCAGAAGAACCTTGTTTATTAAGGAACTACTCTGGAAGTTTTGTTCAAAGTCTAGCTCTCGTTGGCATGAAGCCCTTCCAGAAATCTTGTGACAGCATCTACAACGACTTCTTTGGTCCCTGCTTCCTCACTCCGTTGACTGTTTTGGGGCATCCTTCAGAAGCCCAGGTTAGGTTCAGAGGCAGTCTGTAGCCAGCCTGTCCTTTCAAGGCCATGAATGACCTAAACTGGTCCTTTCATCTAATTTGGAGCAAGTCTTCAATGCTGTTTGCCTTGTGATTTTTCAGACAATTACAGCCTCAGGAAGCCATCCCATTCCTGCAGTGACTAGACAGTCCAAGGGAAGACAGAGCAGGAGAAACAAGGCCAGAGGATCTGGAGAGTCCGCCAATGCCCCACAGTGGACCACTGACATTGACCCTATAGATTCTCTACATACCAAAAGAAGGTGGTGGAGAAGTCAGTAATTCCTCACAGAGACAGCAGGGCTGCTCATTTTTCAAGATTCCCACATTAAAAAAAAACAAAACTTTCCTCTTTGCTCTGCTAAGTTTTGTACTTGCAGCAAATTCACATGCAAACATGCAAACTTATGCAAACCAGAGAAGTATTTTAACACCAGTGTCCTCGGCTGCTGGGACATTGCAGTTGTCTTCCCAGTTCTGCAGCTGGCGAATAGCATTGGCTTCATTTCCCTCAATCTTGCTAAAAATATCTAGCGGCCGAGCCCGCGTCTCTGCTGCAAAGCCCGGGAAACAGAAGAGGGTCCGGTCAGCTCATATTTAAATGGAAAATGCACATCATTTTATTCTGCATTCCCTTTGCAACAGAAGGCCGCCTAGTGTTTCTTATCCACAAACCACATCCTTCGCAATGTCGTTCTAAATTCAAAAGGCCAATGCACTCCGCCAAACCCTTAAAGTTTTTCAGCTCACACAAATCAAGGCAGGGACGATCCAGCCTTTGGTGCTGCGCCCAGCAGTAGTAGCTGCCGGGCCTGCAGAATGTCAGAAATGGGGCTGCTGTGCGGGACAGAACAAAGTCCACCTTTCATCGAAATGAAAGCTTAGTTAAAACAAAATTATATTAATTATAGTTCATGCAATTACCCGTCTGTAGTTAATAGATCCACTGGCCGCCAGTGCAGGGAACATTACAGTTCAGCACCTATTCACTCTCTGGCACTTTCTGGAGATCTTTTACCCTTCTCTTTCAAGCTGCCAAACGCAACAGGGAAGGGTCACTAAGTTCTCACCAAAGTCTATCCAGATCACTTGCAAAGGCCAGGTTTGTCAATGAGACCACAGCCATATGCAGCTCAAGGAACACTAGCCGCTCCAAAAGGCATGTAGTAACCATCGTTCCCTTGAGCAAATAGGAAGCTATAAAAAAGCACAGGTAGTCCTCGACTTATGACCATTCGTTGAGTGACCATTCGAAGTTACGACGGTGCTGAAAAAAGTGACTTATGACCAGACCTCACACTTGTGACCATTGCAGCGTCCCCATGATCACGTGATCATGATTTGGGCACTTGACAACCATCGCGCATTTACAATGGTTGCAGCATCCTGTGGTCACATGATCTCCATTTGCGACCTTCCCAGCTGGCTTCCAACAAGCAAAGTCAAAGGGGAAGCTGGTAGGGAAGGTCGCAAGTCA